TCCTTGGTGGCTTCACTCGATGGATTCTACGTTCCAGAACCTGCTTTGGTTCTTTCCTGGCCAGAACTCTGCACGCCGTGAGATCGGGCTTCGGTCCGGCTACCGCAGTCTATCCTCTGCCACTACCACATGAAGGTCTTTTTGACCAGCAGAGGACCCCCAGGCTCTCAAGAGCGAAGTGGAAGAGGCTTTGTCGACGCCGTGCTTTACATGTGCTTGTCATGGCCCTGAACTATGTCCACAACGGCTTGAGGCCCGTGTCAACATTGGCCCTGGGGAGGCGCCCTTCTCTGGCCCAGCTTGCTGTCTTCAGGAGGCTGTCGGCGCTTATAGCTGCGTGTGATCAACCTGGTGGCTCCTATCCTATGCCTCCGGGAAGATCTGGTTTCGAATTCATTGCCAGACTCATTGAGCTTGAGAAGTTTTCTCAGGCAAATCCGGCCTTCAGCCTGGGCTATGATGCTCGTGATGAGAGAGAACCTGGCCCTGGCATTAGTGTCGGAACTATTGGAGAGCAGCATCGCTTCATTGTATCTGAGGAGTTCTCACCTATGCAGCCATATCGCTCGTTGCAAGCTGGAAGATTGAAGCTGTCAGGTACGGGAACCTACAAGAACACCTTGACAGCTGCCTTTGGCTCCCGTTTCAGGACCCAGCCATTCTCCTGCATGCTCAACCTATTGGTGCAGCTGGGCCTACTTTTACACGAGAGAGCCGTGAGGAGAACTTCAGCTTAGCAAGAATTTGGGATGCCAGAGGCCTCCTTGCTATGTTCCCAGCAAAGCATCCTACTGGCCTGGCATGTCGGGTATTCAACGCCCACAAGAACTCCCAGATTGATAGGCAGATTGGAGACCGCCGCTGGTTTAATGCATCAGAACGGCACCCACGAGGACCTTCGGCCTATTTACCCTCGGGCCACCTTGTGACTTCGCTCCATTGCCCCAGAGGGTACAAGCTTGTTGGATGCGCTGCAGATCGCAAAGACTTCTACCACCAAGCAAAAGTCAGCAGGGAGCGTGCGTGGACAAATGTGCTACCCTTTGTGTTTGAGGCCGATGAGGTCAGAGAGCTTGGTGCTTGGCAAGAAATGCTAGATGCCTATGCTGGAAAGGTCTCGCGAGAGACTCATGGTGATCGCTATGGAATGGCGCCTGCCAAGCAGGTCTTTGAGAAGGACATCAAGGGCATCACTTTGGGCTTCAAGAGCCTCTTTCAGGGCGATCACCTTGGAGTTGAATTCGCACTTGAAAGCCATTCAAACCTCTTGAAGAAGAATGGGCTTCTCTCGGACAGCGAGACGATCCTTGCTCATCATGTCTTCCCACCTGGTCCTACCTGGCAGGGGCTTGTCATCGATGACTACTTCACCATTCGCGCTGAGAAGATAGCGACTGATCCGGCCCAAGCAAAATCAACAGAGCATCTTGCCTGCCCTGAGGCCACCTATCTCCAAGAGGGCGTCTTAGGTTCAGATGACAAGACAGTCAGAGGAGAGGAGCGTTTCAAAGTGATCGGGGCTGAGGTCCTTGCTGATCAAAGGACTAGAGACTCTGGACTTGTTTCAGTTGCTTCGCCACTTGCAAAGAGGATCCCTACGATGGCACTTTCCCTACGAGCTGCCGTGCTCCCTGTCATCTCGAGGACTTTGGCGTCCCGGCTCGCTGGCAACTGGGTCTCAATCCTCATGTTCAGGAGGTGTTTATGCTGTCTGCTGTCGAGGATTTTTGCCCTTGGCACCAAGAGAGCTGATGATGCTCATGAGGTCCTGAAGCTTAGCAGAGCTGCAGCAGAGGAGCTTGTCTTGGCGAGTGTCTTTGGTTTGGTAGCTGCATCCGACATATCAGTTCCCTACGATAGCTGTGTCTATGCCACCGATGCTTCAAATGCAAAGGGGGCTGCCACATCCAAGAAAGTGGGGACTGAGATCAGTCGCATCCTTTGGCTTGGAGGAGACAAGAGAGGAGGCTACACTATGCTCGACCCACCTGCTCGCTCGATCCTGCGTGAGCTTGGCGAGGATGTCGATGACGATGGTGCGTTGCCCCTTTCTGAGCCGCAGAAGGCCATTCCCTTTGAGTTCGACTTTGTAGAGATCTTTGGTGGCTCGGGAGTCTTGTCTGAGGCGGTTGCTCGCCTAGGGCTTTCAACATGCCCACCTATTGATCTTTCAAGGACCAAGCACCACGACATTGGTAACCACAAGCTGCTTGATTGGATTTTTCAGATGATTGCAGAGAAACGTTTCAAGAGCTTGATATGTGAGCCCCCGTGCACAACCTTCTCTCCAGCTCAGCATCCAGCTTCGCGCTCTTATGCCCAACCGCTTGGGTACAACAGAAGAGATCCAAAGACTTACCTTGGCAATCTGCTGGCATTCAGGAGCTTTGCTATTCTGTGGTTTGCTTGGCGGGCTGGCACGCCATCTATGCTGGAGACACCTCACCTGTCGAAGATGGCCTGGTTAGCTTTTTGGAAGTACTTAGTGAAGATCGGGTTTACAGAAGCAGTTCTCAACTCTTGCGCTGTGGGCTCTATTCACAAGAAGCCTTTTCGCCTTTTGGGTTGGGGCCTGGACATGAAGATGCTCTCAATCCCCTGTCCTGGTGGCCATTCGCATGTGCGCATTGAAGGGCGTTGAAGGGAAGTACACTAAGGCCAGTGCGGTCTACCATGAAGGAGTTGCCAACCTCATTGCTGCCTGCTTCCACCGTGCCGTGAAAGGCCACTACTCAGAGGAGGTGCAGCATAAAAAGCCGCAGCTGGAGAGTGTTGTCATCAATGACTTGTTGGCCCAGGATGGTTGGGATACTATAGCACACTGGAGGTGGTCAAAGCCAGGACACATCAATGTTCTGGAGAGCAGAGCCTTCGTTGCGTTGGAACGCAGACTTCTCGACCAAGGAGGAGACCGTCGCTTCGTGGCACTGCTGGACAGCAGGGTGGCAAAGGGAGCTCATGCCAAGGGCCGCTCTTCGGCCTTCTCCCTACGCCCTTCGCTCCTCAGATCATGTGCGTACCAGATTGCTGGTAACCTTCATCCATTTTACGGCTTTGCGCCTACAAGACTCAACACAGCTGACGCACCCTCAAGAGATCGGGATCCGGATCCCTCCTCGCAATTCTCCATTCTTACTGCTCTCTCATCAGAGGAGATCGCTACCTTGCACTCGCACCAGTTCTCCAGGGGGACTGCCAATTGGATCAGGCTCTACCTTTTGGTGATCATGTGTCTCTGCCCTGGTGCTGCTGCCAGCTCTTCCGATCGCCTTGAAACTCATGCATTCAGTGGACTTTGCCTCTGGCTATGTGCCTGGATTTTGGCACTGTCGTTTCTGCTCACATTCAGCCCGCCCCACCTCAGCTGTGGATTTGGACTTGATGCTGACATGCCCGTAGCCTGGACTTGTTCCTCGATTGCACTCCTGAAATCCCTTGGGCCCCCTTTTAGGGTTTTTGGGACCTCCCAATTTCATGCTGCAGCCGTTTTACTTGTAGCACCTCACGTTGCCGCAATGCCTCTGCAGCCTCTGAATAAGGAAGAAGTGCACCGAGCTCGGAGACGACAGGGAACTGTCCTTCAGGCCGATCGGGTTGTTCTGCAGGCTACGAGGACCCGGCGAGACCATTTGCTGGCCGCTTTCGATCGTTGGTTGTCAGAGCACTTGCGAACAACATTAGAAGCGTTGTTGGAGCCACGTGCCTTGGATGCCGAATACATCTCTGAGGCCCTTGTCTCCTATGGCAAAGATCTTTATAACGCTGGAAAGTCGTACAACAGGTTTTCAGAGACCATCAACGCTGTGACGGCCAGACGACCGGTGTTGAGACGCCAAGTGGCGTCATGCTGGGACCTTGCGTTCAATTGGGTTGTTGACGAGCCCCACGAACACAACAGAGCATTGCCACAGTCGATACTTGTTGCAATCCTTGCATTGTCGTTGTTGTGGGGTTGGAGTAGGGAGGCAGCTTTGATCGGGCTCGGTTGGGCTGGAGTACTTCGCATCGGAGAGATTTTCTCCGCCAAGAGGGAGGATCTCATCTTGCCACGAGATGCCTCCCCAGGAACTTGGTTTGCATTGCTTAAGGTGCACCTCCCGAAGACACGAGGCCGAGCAGCCAGGCATCAATGTTCTAGGATTGACCCTGAAGACATAGTTGCTCTACTTGACAGTGTTTTTGCGTGCTTGGCCCCCTCCGAACCTCTTTGGAACCGCTCACCGTCGGCGCTGAGGAAGAGGTTTGCGGTTCTGCAGACTGCACTTGGCTTTGGCGGGGAAGGCGGTAGATCGGATCTGCCCTACTCTCTGTCCAGCCTCCGCCCAGGAGGCGCCACGTACTGGTTGCAGGTTACTGAGGATGCTGAATTTGTTCGGCGCAAAGGACGATGGCTTTCAACACGTGTGCTTGAAGTGTACTTGCAGGAGACAACATTTGCAACTTACACGAAGAGGATGACTCCTGAGTCGATGAGCCGAGTGAACGAGCTCTGCAGGCATTTCAATGCCATCCTGTTGAAGGCCATCAAGATGAGGCAGGCTTTTATCCCTGAATGCGCGTGGCCCAGACTATGGTGATGCAGGAACATGTGGGGAGTGGTGGCCACAAGTCGACCAAAATGGTCAAACGATAGAGAGCCATCCAGCAGGTTTGCGGAAAAGAGGTGAGTCCTT